TAGTGCATGTTGACTTCTCCTCCTGTTGTAACATTTAAAGTAAGTTTTTATGTGTGAGCGCGTTTGTAACGTAACGGGAACGTTGACAACTGCTAATGGGATTATCTTACCGCACCCGATCGCCGTGAATCTGAATTATTCTACATTTGGATAGCGTTCCATAGCACAATCTTAAAATACCATGGGGATCAGAAACCCGGACATTCAATTTTAGAATTCCAAATTTTAACCACAAGTTCCCATGCTCATGAGACTTATTTAATTTCTTGGTTTCCACAACAGTGAAAACATAAACAGCAATTCAGACAAAATACTTGATTTTAACTTAAGAATTGAAAATGCTGGCATTGAAAATTTTTATAGCAGCTTAACGGAATTATTGTATAACTTTAGGATCATATCCTTTTACTAAGCACTAATGTGGGACTAAAAAACTTAGGAGCTAGAAGAAGGTAGTTTTTTTTTCAAGATAATGTGGGATAAGCTACTTTTGTTTAGTGTACTTCGTGGAAGAACGCAGCCACAGAACCCCAACTGTGCCGCAGGTGTTAGCAAGGCTCCACATTTAGAATGTCAAAATGAGACAAACAAACCCAAACAAGGCGGTATTTATTACCAGAGTGTGTAAATATTGAGGCGCCGCCGTCGCCGTCGACATTCATCACACACACGACACATGACACACAGCGGCAAACCTCGTAAACTCGAGACTAGAGCTGCAGCTGTAAACTTGAGTCATGACTGTAGATCAGATGTCTTGATCAATACATGCGGAGAGAAATAACTATTAGCACCTGTTGAATTGACGTTCAAATTTGCTGAAGGATCCATACTCACTTGTAGTTTCTATATGACATGTTGCGTTTGCGGTAATCGACTATTGTTTCATACTTTTATTTGTTATTTGTTTAGAGTAAACTATTTCATCATGTTATCTTGGGGTTTAGCTATAACTCCCGCATTTCCCTAAATAGTTTACTTCTTGAAATTCGCTGCAGGCAAAGTTCTTATTTATTTTTTTATAATGCCGTTTTAGTTGTATTTTCAGTTTTAGTTTCATGATTTATTGATTTGGTCTAATTAGCTTGCTTTAAAAAAAGGTAGTTCCTTTTATGAGATGAAAACCAATGTTGATATTTTTACAGCGAAAAGGCGTTTAATCAATTACATTTACTTTGTCAGGATCGGATTTTATTTGTTGCTTTGTTACTGAGGAAGACAAGCTAATTGTGTCTACGTTGCTGAGCTAATTATATATAAAATCCCGATGACCAACTGGCTGGGTTGGGTTTCACACCAACTGATGATAATACTGATGATACGAAAAGTAATCGATCACTACAACCAATATTATACCAGGCTATAGTTACCATGAATGAACTGACATGAACACACTCCAACTTAAATGTTGTGTCTCACACCCCTGTATACAACAACCACAACATAGTTTGTTATTCGTTCAGTTAAACAATTTTTAATTTTACTCTTAGAACCCCAAATGTGATTTAAAAACCTTTATTAAAATAGTTTTACGTGTTAATATGAGATGTTCAACGATCAATATCATGCACTCTAACGTGATCATAATATTTGTCTTCCTGATAACGAGCCGATAGTTTCAACAACAAACTGTGAGTACCAAATGACGTAAACCACTAGTGTAATGGAGACCATCTGATGGTTGCGAGGCTTATAGTGCATAATGACTCATGGAGTGACTAATCCATGTATAAAACATGCTTACAATGCAATTTGATCTTATCTCAGCGCTTCGGTACAGCTGATGCTCGGTACAGTTTGAGTGTGCTGCACGCAACTTGTCCTTCTTTTCATTACATGTCTTCTTTACGTGTATTGTTTACTCTTTCATATCAGTGTTATTGTTAAACTTCTTTACATATTCACTTCTTAAATTTGTCATCCCTTGGTGCTTTTTCTCTATCGTATCGTCATTCATCTAATCCTACATGCCCTTTCATTCGCTCATTCACACATTAAAAATTTTGATTCCTTCTCTTTGTCCCTTTACTTTCTATTTTTACTTCAATAATGTCTTTAATTATTCACTCCTCTCCTCTCCTCAATTTCTTTATTCCTTCATCATTATTTTACTCCTTCACTCCTTCACTTCCTCACTTCTCTGTCTCTCTACTCACCGAATGCTACTCTTTGTTCTCTTTCCGCTCATTTATGTATTTGCATTTTTATTCCTTCACTTCTTTTTCTTTTCACTTTCCATTGTTACTCCATTAACTCTTCACTTCTCCTCCTCCTCCACTACGTTACTCCTTCACTCCTTTCCTTCACCTCTGCTCCACTCCAAAGATCGTCGACCCGGCCAGGAGTGTCCTGCAGTGAGGTAGTTACACTGCGGTGACGTGTGTCTCAATTATCAGATGATTTCCTGCCTCCAGCTCCAGCCAGGCTCCGTGTAATGAGGTGTCATTATCCCTCGGCAATATCCTCTGTAATTTTCAACGTATTGGGATTTGTCAAGGTTAATTTCTGTGCCTAAATGTGGATTAATGATTATACTCGTGCCGTTGGTTTATCCGCCCGACTGTGTTCTTAGAACTGGTCACACACTATCAGGCTTTACCCTGAACAAGGCCTAAGCATTAGACCCACCCTGGTGCTCGGTCGGATCTACTACGATATGGTGTGTGGAAGAACTCAGACCAAACAGCAGAGCGAGCAAATTCGAGTGATCCAGAGTAGATTTTTAGCGAAACGCTTAAGAAAACTTCAGGTTAATGGTTCAATAAATTGTTAGGAATTAGATAATATGGTCATCAGCCGTGAACCTCTCCCTGAATATCACTGCTGCACTTTCAGTGGATTTTCCAAACAAACAAAAAATTGAACTTTTTGTATATTTATTTACTAATACTTTACGTAATCTTTTTTCGCTTAAATATAGGTGGAATGTATAGGGGATTACATTACATAATAAGAACATGTACTCATCCAACCTTAATTTGAAATTTGAAAAGGAAAAATTGTAAGTTATCAAGACCCTGTTGCTTTTGTAGTTTGTTTCTTATTATACCCGTAAAACCCCGTCTTAAATAATTACTTATGCTCAAAGCTATTATCACATAACCGTAAACCTTTATTTATATAATTCGTAAAATTAATCGCAATCACGCAGTGACACTAGTATGACATGATCACGGTGACTCCTACTAGACATGAGTCTACAGTTGAGTTAACGTGGACCGGATGAGTCAGTTCCTCTGAGGTTGTTCCCCTGTCGGACGCATGCGCCGGAAGAGCGAGCCATTTAATTAATTACAATACAGTTTCTTGATTGGTTTAATGCGTGCATTATGAAGTGGGAACATGGATGTTCTACTTCATGGAGCGCTGAATCATGCTAATAGTTATGAAACGTGCCACTAAGCCAGTTGTTTATTCCTCTAATGTTTTGCAAGAAAACTGTTTAAGAACAATGGCTAAACAGTTAACAAACGTTCCCACGGTTACGTATTCTCATCTTTACTTCTTGGCGTCTTCGCCTTATAACTTATTTACTTCTCAATTTCTTCAGCTCTCCCCTCTTTACCATCTTCGTCTTTTCACTTGATCACTTCTTCTCGTCATCACTTCACTACTTTATTTCTTCACATAGTCTCTTATTCATAACTTTACTTGTTCACCTTTCCACTTTTTTATTTCCTCTTGTCATCACATATTCTTCTTAGTACAGTAGTAAGTAACTTCAAGTGAAGCACTGTAGTGCAATGATAGATAGTCGTTTATGGTATTATCAGCTGCAGTTTACTTGAGGAGAGGCGGTGCTTGGTACAAAAGGCGCTGCGCAATCTTTACGATCCGTCGTATTGCATGTCATTCACACTCCCAGTTTTCGACGACTTCGTTGTTTGTTCAGCTGCGCTATACGATCCAAGAAATGACTATCCAAGTTTAGCCATCGTAAATTGCATAGTTACGCTGATGATAATAGCAATCTTGGCCAAGAGATTCGTCATATAATTCCATTAGGAAAACATTTAGTTGTCTGATAATTACGTTGGGTAATTATACGGAATCTTCAACGATACTCATATCCCACAAACGATTAAAAGCCATAGGAATGTTAGGTCAATGGTTTTCATTTTGCATTTCCAATTTTAAATTTAATTTACATTCAAATTATATAAGCAAATTATTAAAATTGGTAGTTTTTTGAGTGTGTGAAATTTGAAATTGACAACATAAAGACAATACTTACAGGGATTATCTTCATAAAGTTTCTTAATTTATCAATCATTCTTGGGCATTAGTCTTAAATTGAAGGACGGGGGAGAGTATAAGAAGCCACTTGCCCGTGGCTGGCTGATCCGCCATCCATTGTGTCACAGATACAACGTTTTACAAAGTTATATAAGCTAGTAAAGCTGGAAGTAGACAATTGGAAAACAGTGAAGTGTCCAAAGAGAGGGGGCTCTGTATGGGTGGGTTCCGTGAAATGTTAACTGAAGGATTGTGACAGTGGAGTGTGACTGTCATTATCCTCCTCAGACAGAACCGACCAAAGAATCCTCAAGATCTCGCCTCTACCGATTAGAGTTAAGTTAATGACAGCTTTGGTGAGAGGGTGTCCTGAAAGAATAAGTGTAGATTGCCGGTATGTATTTAAATTATGTGTTTCCTCAAGTATGTTTCCCTTTCTAGGTAGCCCACAATATACGGTGTTAATACATTGTTGAAATTCGTATAAAAAAGTCATTGGTCAATTGGTAGAAGTGTCAGGTAGTTGTTCACTACTGTACAGTCATTTTTATAAGTTGATTCGCATTTTTATTATAAAGTTCAAGTTTGGTCGATCTTCAGCCTCATCGATTTGCAACTTGCAAGTTGGTCTCTTATCTGGAGGCAGTGTTCACTGTTCAGGAGCAAGTGGAATTGTGACCAACTGGCAGCACTGCACAGTAAACTAAAGTGACATTTGTCGACTATTGCAAATGTTATCATCTTCAAATTCTTGCTTGTTGCAGGACGACCGCTGGGGGCAGTGTTCACGTACAAGTGGAAAGGCGAACAACTGGCAGCGCTGGCGGACAACGGCACCCGCGTGCTGACGGAGGTTACAGTCGCTCATCACTGCAGCATGAGGACCTCCATCAACAGGTTAGTCGAAATGTGGGTATCCGTGTTGTCCTATGTCTGCATGTGCGGTCGGTGGCATTACTGTAGTCTGCAATCTGCATGCTCCGAACTAACACAAACACACACTCGTCCTAAATATAGGACCAACCATTCACTGCACATCTTGTACAACTTGTATGTTAACCGATGACAAAGTGTGACTGCTACGACGTATCAACTTACTACTGTAGTTGCTTGTGAAAAATATTGTCATATTAGTCTTGTATTGCACTTATTAAAGAATTGTTTCAGGAAGAATTGTAGTGAGAATTATGGTGAGTTGCTTAAAACTCTAATCATATAAACGATCCGATTTTTTACTTCTACGCAGAAAAGCCAAAGGACAGTTTTATTTAAGTACTGTATTAGGATTATTGTACCAGGGGTGATTTATAAATTTGACAACGGAATGAGGTTTTCGGAATATTGCATGTTACTTTTCTCTCCATCCTAATAACACATGAGTAAGAATACAAACATTTACTTATTGCGTAGGGGAAATTCGTAATGCACGAACTCAGGTGGAATCACCCTCTAGGCAGCGAGCAACGAGGCCGGAAACCTTATCAGATCACTTCATACCTGGACCGCATATCCTGAGACGGTGGTAGGTTAGTTCCGCAGATAATGACCCTAGGGCCATAAATGGGTAGGTTCGTTCCGCATTTGAATCTGGTGGGCCCCTTAAGTAGGTAGGTTATTTCCGCATTTATATTGACAAAGGTGGGTTACACTCCATTAGACAAGGGTAATTAGCCTCACTAAAAGGCGACGTAGAATGAATATTGAACAAATTTAAGTTAAATATCCAAAGATTGGATACGCTTGTATCCGATTCGAAATTCGGAATATTTATGATACAAACTCTACATATTTTAGGTTTAGGATGTAAGAAAATCACCTGTTTCATAAATGTTAACAAAATTGATCTTAGTAATAATACTGATTTGACTATTTAGTAATAACTAGTGGTCGTCCTGTGGTCGAAACTCGACCAAAAATAATTAAAGTACAGACTTCTCTATTTTCTCCCCACACTATAAATAAAACATGTGATTGTAATTTCTTCCATTTGTTTTGATTTTCTGTTTACATTTTGTTGTTATTTCGTCACCATCATGGCAACCCATATGGTCCATGTTAATTTTTTGAAGTTTTCAAATTCATTTTTTGTTCTTATTTGTTAGCCTATTTTAATATTTAAAAGTATTCTGCACATCTACAGGAAAATATCTTTCCAACAGTATGCGTAGATTTTCCCTGCGATGCACACGAGCTGAGAAAAAAGGTTTTAAAGAAACATGCTTGCCTATTAATATATAGATAGATACTGCACAGATACCGTACACACTATGATTAGTTGTGATAATAGTTATGTAAAAAATCTATGAACACACAGAATAGCACGCGGTCTAGATGCTTGAATTCTCCAAGTGATTGCAGCCACATACCATCCTCGCGTACTACAAATACTCTCTTCCCCCGATTCCCATATTTTAGGAAATATTTTTTTGGGAATTCCTAGAAATATTACACCGCATTGTTTACTACAGGGAATACAGCAGAGAACATATTTAGTTTGTTGTCAGTATTTACAAGACGTGTTTATTATAACTGTTATTATCCATGCGTATCTATGCGTATCTGTGCGTATCTATGCGTATGTATTTCCATTAGTTGCATACGCTTTTAATAAGGTCTTTTAAACTCATAGAAAATTATGACTACTAGTTTTAATATAGCTTCTGTAGTGCCGGTACTAGACAACTGCTCGATTTCGAGCAACAGGTACACTAGTTTTGTTTTATATTTTTAATTTGTTATAAGATGCTTACAAAGTTTAAAGTTTTTCCTGTGACAGGTTTAGTTTACCAACTGAGCTATTAGCATTTTGTAACATAAGCGTATTTAAGCAGCAGCTGGTGTAATGTGATTTTTTTAGTTTTAAGATTGCGGCTTCGCAATAATGATTGGGATAATAATCTTCAATATAATAATAATCAATAATAATCTTCGCCCTTTAAGATTGGGATCGGTGAAAGAAATATCTGCATCAGCTATGGTAAAAAACTAGAGAAATCGTTACAACTGGAACATGCTACTTCAACTTTAACTCATTCAGAACTTGCTTATTTTTATGGATTATTTCGGTTGACTGGCATTTTTGTACGCTTCACTGATCTTTACAATTTCAAGAGATCTATTGTTGAAGCCGTCAAATGCGGAACTGACCTACCAGATTATAACCCACCCTACGGGACCCGGATTAGTGTAGGTAGCAAATGCGGAACCAACCTACCCCCCCTGAGACGTTACGAATCGCGGAAGTTACTTCGGGAAACCTAAACCTCACCCAGACCTCCATGTATAGCCTTGAGAGAGACACTAGATGAACGAGGGAGACGACTGCCCTCCAATGACCCTTGCCTATCTGCAGTGACATCACTCAAAAAGCTGTGAACATCTGACGATGGCATTACTAAATCACTATGATAGTATTCAACGAAAACACAAACTACTGCAATGCAATCAAGCCTTGTAAAGTACCTTCTGTGTCAAGCAATATTGTGTAATCCAAGCACGGATCGCCTGCCAAAACAAAGAGATCGATCGAGGTTACGGAATAGGAAGTTCTCGTTTACACGCCACCGACACGGACAGTAGTCTATCGATTGGTATTGCTAGACAAACCCTTGTAAGGAGACAGTACTGGAACTGGTACATGGATAAGAAATACACCATTTTTGGAAACCAAGGATGAAGTTATCCTTGAAACATTCCATTTCAAAGTTAACAAGATACTTATTGTAGGCGTGGTTTATTTCATGCAAATTCGCACATGTATTCGAAGAAAATGGCATTCAAAACTGTCGACGTAAATAATTTAGAGGAAGTTGGAGTCCCTCGCAAATGTAGATTGGCTAATGAATAATAAAATCTGGTAATCGCGAGGATTAACGCGTCTGTTTTAGCAATGCTAATTCACTAAACTAGAGCTTTGCACGATTTTGACTCGAAGCAGGAAAATTGATTGCAGATCGTAAAATCTCAGCACAGTTGTAACCTTGGTGAATCTAAGATTAATTTATAATCTTGAGTATTCAAATCGTCCACAATCTGACGATGTTTACTCTTTGTCTTTCAAACTAAAACAACCAAAGAACGAGGTGAACTTCTTTATCCAACGAAATTTGCTTTATAGACCCGGCTGGGTAAAGGCGTTACAGGTTTGGTGACTTACATAAGGAGGTTTGTTCTTGTATAATGGCTAATCAAGGTCTTTATTTAAACACTGCGAAGGTTGACGAATCGGTTATCTAATTCTTTATCCTCCAGCGGACGAGAACCGCCTCACGTAGTCGGAGATAACAATAAGTTGTCACGTGACATTATAGGAAACCCGGTGTTAATTGTCCAGAAAATACCATAGTCGTTTGAGCGTAATAGCAACAAAACTCTTTTGTTATGATCATGTTATTGTTGCTCTTCTTTTTCGATATAATTTGTTTTCCTCCGTTAGATCTTTAGATTTAGTATTCGCCTATTGATCAGGTTTGCGGATCAACCGCAAGACAAGAGAAAAATTGTATCTTTGTGTGTTTTTTTCTTTCTCCCTGGTTTTGTTATTACCTTAGGTCGACATTTCGTTAGATGGCATAGCTAATGTGTGGACCAATGGGGAGTGAGCTGGTAGAGGGGCGGGTTCAGTGGTAGATTGTGGTCTTTGAGGTACCGGAGTTCAAATCCCGCAAAATTGATTTTATGTAATTTTTCCCAACGGATTTTATGTAAATGATAGCCGCAATCCCTAGGTTTAGTTTGAAGTCATGTGAAAAACAATCGTGCCAAAGCCTAGTGTTATAGGATAAAAAGGTAGGAAAATGTATAACCCAATAAATGGCATCTAGATCCAGAATCGATCTACTCTATATCGAACCAGCAACATCCAGGTTTGAAGGCGAGCGTTATACACAGAAAACAAGTATGTTTTCTGTGTTATAATCACTCGGTTACTCTGGGTAGGGTTGAAATTGTGCCTAGCTATCCTTGATAATTTGGCTTTAAATCAATTATCCTGGCAAAGAAACACCTGGTCCTGGTGTTTGTCTGTAACAAAGCTACACAAGGCATCTCACTCTGTTCCACACTCGTCCGTCACTCTTAGTCAGGCTAAAATACACAGCTCTGAGTCCCTGACTCAAATGTTTCAATGTAATTAATTAATTAAACTTACAAAATTACATTGAAATTGTTAATGAGTTTTCATTCGGTGAATTGCTAATATTATAGATTATTTTCTCAACTGTATCTAGTTTGTATGTATGACAATAAATTTCCTTATTAATGTCTAATTGGTTACATGTTGTGTCTTTAGTTCGCCTTAGCAAAGATTACACATGCTACGCAAAGATAACTGATTTTGCATAGCATGTGTAATTTTGTGCCTTAGCTATGTCAGATACCTAGAGATATAAAGTCAGTACATCAGTACTGACCATGGAAGCATACAGACATCACCGATAAGGAAACTGCATATTTAAGAGGTAATTTGAGGATAGGGTATCATTGTTGTAAAATTATTTGATTCTATTTTACAGTTGCAGTATTCCAAAATCCAACAGTCTTGGACAAGAAATATTGATATTTAATTATTAGTAAATTATTATTTAGCCCCTCTGGACCTGTGCGTGTGCATGACAATTGTATCTACTTAAATGAGTAGACATCCTTTAATCTACAACCTAGTTCAATTAATATAAATCTAGATAAAATAACATACACCAGTACTTTCTCAGTTATCTGTTATTTTATAGAGTGTTTCAAGCACCGCAAACACACAACATCTGAGCAGGAAGTAAACAACTTAACCAGAAAGTGTAAAGTAATGTTAACTGTGGGACATTAACATCTATGTCACCATCAGTGTGTTGCTTGTAGGATTATAAGATGAACACGTAATTTGGAGAGTTTATTACAGTACCAATTTAATTACA